TGGAGGAAAAGAGACGACGGATCCTCGAGCGGCGCGTAAATGCAACCATCTCGATTTTCCCTCCCTCAAACGTGTCGGTCGTTCTTATCGAGGGCTGTTGGATTTCGAATCGGGTAGTTATCGACGACGAAATTATAATCACTGACAGATGGAGCAGTGTATAAGTAGTGCATGCGACGACAACGTCCTGCAGGTTCTTGTGAACACCCGCCGTTGGGATGGTTCTCCTATTTTTTGTGCACATAAACAGCCGCATCAGGAACTTGCCCTCACTTGCTCACTCAACGGAACATTCTATCATTTTCATATACTACATTGACCCGCACAAACAAAACACTCACACCCGCGTGTAATTGATTAAAAAACGCAGAACTCAATTTTTTTTTTTCCAACTGTAAGTGCAATAAAAGCAGTGCACCTCCACCACCTTGGAAATCCGTCAGCCGAACATAACAGCCATTAGTCGCAATTTCGGCTGCTCTTTGCAACCTGCACGTTTCCAACCGTCGCGCGTAAGCGCGCACCCACACGCGGAGAGATGCACAGGTGGAACGAAAACACTTTCTGATCTTTTCAACTTTTGCCCCGATGCGTATCGCAAAAAAAAAGGAGAGCCGCCGACACAACACCGGCACCTGCACTACTGCGTATTACGAACAACAATAACACCGCACCTAACCTCTGTCATGTCCGACTGGACGGATTGAAACGAACAAACAAAAAGACGGGATAGTATACACTCGCGATCGTTAAAAAACACACTGCAACAACATACACAAATACATGTTATCGACTAAGCGACAACAAAACATAAAAAATACTTCTCCGTACAAGGAACCGGACCGAACAGCCTCTCACCGGAACGCGCGTCGCGCGGAACTGAAGCCTCGAACGGGTATTATGTTCTCTCGCGCGCTCCGCGACTTGCATTCACATCCCCTCCACCGGGTGTCTCTCCCTTTCAGAAACTCCCCCTTTTTGCCGTGTGTATCATATCACTGTATATGCATACACGCGCACGCGCCCGACTCCAAGGCACCTACGTGTATAGATGTAGATATTTTATTGTCCGCGACCGCGACACAATACACGTGTGCGTGTGCACCCACCCCTCGGCCGCCGTTGGTTCTTTTGACAGCAAAGCGCTAGCTATACACATATATGCGTGCGATGCCTGAATGCAAGGTGCTGGATGAGTTTTTGAATTACGAGGCGACGTGTCGATTGTTCGAGCTGAAATGGATGATGCTGTCGATTCGATTGATAAGTGCCACGCCACCGCGTGCGCCCGGGCGTTAATAAAAATGCGCGCGTCGAGAAGCTGTTTCGCTCGTTTTACTCTTGTTGATGATGTTATCATCCATCGATGCAACGTATATTTATGCTAGTAAGATTAGTACCAAAACCTTCTTTTCCATTCATCAATCAACGATGGATCAGTGCGGATTACTTGTGTATCATTTGTACATAATATGTAGTAGCGAAATGATCTATAGATCTTTATTTTTTTTTTTTTTTTTTTTTTTTCACATTTTAGAATTTTACTCCCCATCGCGGCAGATTCATTTCTGAATGATCACACTTTTCGAATGCATGATAGAAAAATAAAAAAAGTGGAGAAAAAGGGGAAAAGTGTCCCCTGCGCCAACGCGATTATTATGATTATGCATCGGACTTGCGCATCGTTCGGTCCATTTTTCCGCGCCAGAGAGACCAAACCTATTATGTACGTGTATACCGTCAGAGGAGGAGCTAGGAGGCAGGGGTCAACCCTCGGCGTCACTGCCAATACATAGAGATGCTTTTGAAGTGCCGAGTGATGCGGATGCGCGTCCCCGGGACGAAAGGGCCTCGGTATGGTTTCTGCCGATCACGTTTTATTGTGCAGAGGTCGATTGCTTTTTCCCCCTTCTTGTGTACTACAGTTATTGTCACAGTCGTTGTGATAGGTGTACTTGAGTACTTTGCCGTTTGCTCTCCTACGTAAGTGCGCGCTTTCATTGAATATTCCAAATCGCAAAGTACATCAAAGCGATCGATTCGTTACGGATGCTGACAAAAAAAAAACTAATTTTATCGGCACAGAGACAAGCGTCTTTCATTAACGCGCGACAATACCAATGCCAGCCCAACCCTGCACTTTCCTCCCTAGGAAGTGAAAATTTCTTTTTTCTCTCTCCGCTTTTTGCAAACGCGCCGAGGACGACAAATGTATCGGAACACTTGGAGAAAAAGTGGGACGACGTACGCAAAGCTTTGAGTTATTGAGACATGTGGAGATGGATCGAGAAGAGAAGAGGCATATTTTTCATACTCGAACGCAAGTGCAGGTCTTTGCCTCTGTGCCTCTTCCGTTTTCTTTTACCCAGCAAATATGTAAAACCATGACGAGTCCTCTGTCGTCTCGTAGATCCGTACGGGGTCCAGGTCCTGTTTTCAATATCAACTTCGCGAACCTTTCGGTCACAAGACAGCTGAGGCATCTGATTACTATAATCATTTTTATTTTAAGATTGATTGTATAACTTGAAGCGATTTGCATTTTTTTCGCCCCATAAAGTCTCCGCAACAATCAAATATATGAAATGATGATCCTTTTAATAAATAGGGGTAGTATTCCAATCTAAAAAATAAGTCGATTGCACTTGCAAATTTTTTTAAATAATAATTAGTCGCTAATAAAATGCACCCGTTGCAAATCGCTCATTAAAATTCAAAACGTCAATCGCAAGGGCCATTATCTCATTATCGAGCAGTCGAAATAAAACAAAACAAAAAAAGCTGGCAGACAAGGAGGACAGCTATGAAAGGTAAGAAAGAGGAGAGTCCGATGTACGGTCGAGAGGAAAGGGAGACGATAGAGCCACGCGTCCGGAGACCGGAAGCGATTATTAAGTTCGGCGTGGGCCATTGTCGTCGTCGTCCGTCGCTCTCCGCTGCAAATAGTAGCCGTAGTAGTAGGGGTACGTAATTTCGAAACGCTACGCGATTCATGGAAGAAGAGGCCGATGGTCTGACCAGTCTCATGTCAAGGAAGGGAGGGAGGCTAATTGGATTCGCCGTCGAGGGGCGCAATTATTACTGTATTGAAAATAATTTCCATACTGCAGCCGTACTGCTGCGCTGAATCGCGCGACGGGGATTCCTTTTGTAGCCCAAGCTATGACTTTTTTTTTTTTTTTACAATTTACGCCCCTGCACGCAAAGTGAGTATGTGCATTGTATCCGGACGGAATTGATGAATTCTCGGGTGATTTTGTAAAATGTGTATAAGTGAATTTTATGAACCGCTTGAGCAATCAGGGGACGAAAGTATTCAGATCAGAGAGAAGATTTAAACAGGTGTAGGGCGGCAGTGCAGCGGGAGTTATAAATAAATAAAGGCAGCTGTCTTAGCAATGTAAATCTGATGGATCGCTGGAACAGTAATTTAACGTTACGTTTGTACATTTTATAAATTTGTAAACAGAATAACAATGTAAATCTTTATCAATTCTGTACTATCAAATATTATGATGTAATCAATCGTAACGAGTTCTCATGAGTGCATTGTTGAGCTCATGACTCTTTTAGGCTACAGCTTTTTTTTATGCCAACAGTTTTGAGCTTTACTGTTTGTGCCCAAGATATTTTGTGTCAATACTCAAGCTATGCTTAGCTTCCCTGCTAAATTGTGTAGATATGTTATGTCACTCTGTAATTATTATTTGTGGAAAACTTGGTGTCACACAAACAGTAATAAAAATGGTGGGTTGAATTATTATTTATCTCAAACTTGTGTTACTGCTTATTTAATAAATATTTCAACTACATGTTTTTACTTAGAATCAGCAACAACGTAACATAATCAATAAGATAATATTATATGAAGTAACACCAGCATTTTTCTCTAGTTAAGAAACGGTATCCATGTGAGTCAAACAAAGAGTAAAAAAAAGCAATTGGGAATCCCAACGGAACAGTAGTGCCTTACGAATAAAACAATGTGTTAAGGTGTTGTAAAATTTATATGATGAAATTTAATTAGAAATTTAATTGATAATAATAGGATTGTTTATTTACAATTGGTAGAAAAAATAAAATTTGAAACTCTGGGTCATTTAAATCACAATTCAGCATCTTTATTTTGTGAATAAATTGCAATTATTAACATTAAGGTCTATTGACCAACTAAATACTATAAGAAAATATTTTCAATTATGTTACATTTGTAACTTAAAAATTACTTCTCTATCTTACTTTGGTCAACTGTTGGAATTTTTGGAAACAATACACAAATCGTTGTTATTTATTTATTTATTTATAAATCGTTGTTATTTAATTAAATTAAAATTAAATTAGCTAATGAATTTATAAACTAAATAACAACTGGATTCTTAAAATGATTACATGTCAACACACGGCATTTCGTGTGAGGCAATTTAAATATAAAAATAGTGTAAATCTGCTAATGGAAAATACATGCTACACTAAACTATAATGATTATTATTGATAATTAATTATAATACGCAATTTTATTATCATTATTATGTTACTACAATAATTACTGTTTCATCAGGACTATAATTATTATCATCAATAAAATTACGGAATGCACGATGGCGTACGATGATAAAAATAGTATTTTAATTTATGAAAGATATTTTGAAATACCTCTTACAAATTTATTAATATTTTCAATTATATTACATACTGCACCTCTATAACGTATACAAAAGAAAAATTAGTTACTTTTTAGTACTAAAACGCAACGCTAATACAAGTTCAAAGTATGACAGTAACTAACCACAATGAATGATACTATATGATTGTTATCATTACTATGGAGAAGCAGTGTTGAAAACCATTAATATAACTTGTACATTTCTACTAAAGATGAATAATTTGACAACGTCGTAAGAAGAATTATGTACATGGAGATAAAAATTGTTTGCGCTTTGATAAACCTCTTGGTGATAAGACTTTGCAACGACATGAAAACTGAATATCAAGGCTGTCTTGTTTTGGAGTAGGCAGTGAACACGCGATTCAAAGACATCGGAGAAGCATATTAAACATATTGCCAAACATGGACCGACCAATTGTGACTATAAGTGATGGACAGCTGCAGGGCACTACTTTAAAAAGCGTATTGGGTCCCAACTACTATGCTTTTAAAGGGATTCCCTTTGCCGCACCACCTCTTGGTTCACTAAGATTCAAAGTATGCGTTAGTTCATTATTTTTTTACGATTCATAGTTATAAAATAACATTAATGTGATCTCGGTTGTTACTCAGGCACCACAACCACCTGAAAAATGGTCTGGTGTACGAGATGCTTCGAATTATGTTGGGGACGCTTGCATGCAGATGAGGGATGATCGAACCCGAGCTGTCGTAGGAAGTGAAGATTGTCTTTACCTAAGTGTACTTACTAAAACTCTTAGTCCCGACAGACCAGTGATGGTTTTCATTCATGGTGGAAGTTTTGTCGAAGGTACAACAAATCGTGATGTCTATAGGCAGGATTATTTGGTTACTCAAGACGTCGTATTGGTAAATATTAACTACAGAATGGGACCTTTCGGTAGGTAAATATTTTGTTCCTTAGAAGTGAGTGAGAGAATGAACCCTAAAAACTTTATCGAACGACTACAGGATTTCTCAGCCTCGGACACGAAGTGGCAACCAGTAACGTGGGTTTGAGAGATGTAATCTACTCTTTGCGATGGGTTAAAAATAATGTTGAAGCTTTTGGAGGAGATACCAATAATATCACGATTTTTGGTAGCAGCGCAGGAGCTCTGATAACTCACTTGTTGACACTGATACCGAAAGCTAAAGGTAATCAATCACTGTTTTTATCATCATTGAATATTAATGGATAATTTTTGCATGTCATTAGTATATTGTACACTGTTAAGTACCATTAAATTTCATATTAATGTGTACAGGTTTGTTTCACAAAGCTATAATTCAAAGTGGCACTTGCAATAACGCCAGGACCCTAGTTAGTAAATTCGATATTAAAAATGGCTTCAGAATCGCGGCTCTTCTTGGAATGCATTCAGACGATCCAACCAAAGTGATAGAATTCCTTCGCACAATGCCCGCTATAAAACTTGTTCAATGTGAAGATCACATTCTAACCCAAGAGGTAGCTAGTCAACTTTTTGGTCATTCAAATATTTTTAAATAATTTTTTATACTCATTACAGGAAGCAATTCAATACGGCATGCGACCATATGGGCCAGTTATTGATGTAGATTACAATTCGGATCCCTTGATTCCTGGTACATTCGAAGAGTTAAAGAATAACAATGCTGATATACCGATTATGATTGGACATACCTCGGATGAGAGTCTTTTGGTTTTCGTTGGTAAGCTTTTTTTTAATTTTTTTGTATTAAAAATTTTTTAATGTCATACTAAATTTTAGATAAATTCAATGACGAAACTTACAAATACCACAACGATCATATAGAATCAATAATCAGAAATAAATTAAAAGACCCCACGGTATTTCCTGAGTTAATGAAAGAAGTGCGAGAATTTTATTTAAAGAACAAGCCAATCGATTCAGAAAACGTCTGGAATTTGATACGTTTGACAAGTGACTTTTCGATTCATGCTGATAGACAAATAATCGATTATCGAGTCGAATCTGCAACAGCACCAACCTACGTTTACATGTTTTCCTACATGGGAGATGAGCCCACGATTTATCAAACTGATCATGGTCCACAGCCTCTCAAAGGTTTTTTCAATTTGTAGACATGACACATAAATTCTAGTGGATCACAAAAAATTTTTTTCTCATTGCCTTAAGCCGTCCAGTGAATTTACATTACTTATCGTTTAAATAAACTGTGTGCATTTTTCCGATTTTTTAGTTAAAATTTAGAGGTAGCGATAGCAAAAAAAAAAGATTCAATACTATGAAAAAATGTTATAATTTTAAATTAATATTAAAATCCTGTCAGAGCTATTAACAACGCAAAATATTTCAAAAATAATAGTAGTTTTCGTCGGATAAATGCCATCGTCTCTGGGGCTATTTTGCGGCCCAAGGGCTTCGCAGGTCCCCTGGGCCGCAAAATAGCCCCGGAGACGATGGCGCTTTTGTGGCGAATGCTATTTTTCCTACCGAGGGCACACCAGCCTCTCAAAAACGCCCGAGGTAGGAAAAGTATTTTTTTGTGGATATTTAAATAATGAATTGAATTATTTATTGTAAGATTGAAGTGTTAGTAGATTAATTAAAATAAGATAAAAAAAGGTAAAATTAGATCATTTTAGATTAAAAACTAATTTTCCTACCTCGGGCGTTTTTGAGAGGCTGGTGTGCCCTCGGTAGGAAAAATAGCATTCGCCACATGAGCGCTATCGCTCCGAGGCTACCTTACGTCCCTCGGGCCCTGCTTCGCAGGTCCCTTGGGCCGAAAAATAGCCTCAGAGACGATGGCACTTATCCGACGAAAACTACTATTATCGTTGTTTTACTGTAAACTACAGAAAGTAATGGAAATTTTGTCAAGTTTATGGATTTTTAAGCACACTTTGAATGAAATTGATTTGATGACAGAATATCGACAAATCTCAAAATAAACAATTATGTTAGATTCATCACAAAATATATAGATTAAAAATACTTTTCATTATAGCAATCTCTAAATTTTAACAAAAATATTTTAAAAAATGTGCACATTAATTTTTAGATGGTAATTGATAACTCACTTTAAGATTTAGGAAAATAAAAAAATAAAAAAGTTTGGTGATCTACCTGAATGAGTACCATTATAATGAACAGTTTTACAGAAAATGTTGATTTCCGTAGGAGTCGCACATGCTGACGAGCTTTCATACTTGTTGTACCTGGCCTACTTTCCTATAAGAAAGGAGAACCCAGAAAAAATATATCCCAAAGAAGGTACTTTGGATAGACTTGTAACGGAGAGAATGATTCGTATGTGGCAAAATTTTGCCGCAACCGGGTGAGTATTTTTAATATTAAAATAATAATAANTTTGTATTAAAAATTTTTTAATGTCATACTAAATTTTAGATAAATTCAATGACGAAACTTACAAATACCACAACGATCATATAGAATCAATAATCAGAAATAAATTAAAAGACCCCACGGTATTTCCTGAGTTAATGAAAGAAGTGCGAGAATTTTATTTAAAGAACAAGCCAATCGATTCAGAAAACGTCTGGAATTTGATACGTTTGACAAGTGACTTTTCGATTCATGCTGATAGACAAATAATCGATTATCGAGTCGAATCTGCAACAGCACCAACCTACGTTTACATGTTTTCCTACATGGGAGATGAGCCCACGATTTATCAAACTGATCATGGTCCACAGCCTCTCAAAGGTTTTTAAAAATATCAATACTTATTTGTCAACATCACTATATAGTTACATAAATGCAAACTGAACTGTGTTTTAGGTATTGCCCACGCTGACGAGTTATCATACCTGTTTTACTTACCAGGTTTTCCGTGCAGAAAAAAGTTTCCAGACCAATTGTTTCCCAAAGAAGGTACTCTAGACAGGCTAGTTACGGAAAGGATTATACGACTGTGGAGTAATTTTGCAGCGTTTGGGTGATTATTTTTAGACATTTACAATTATATTACCAAAAATCGCGGAGAAATTTCATCGTACCACATTTCCAATAATTGTTACAGGAATCCCACCCCCGAGACCGATGACAAGTACATTACGACAGTTTGGAAACCAGCGAGCAAAGAGCACTTGTACTATCTAGAAATAAATAAAGACCTTCCGTTGCGCGATGACAGGGACTCGAAAAGCTGGCCGTTTTACGAAAAGAACCGCGATTACTTCAAACAACTTTAACATTTGTTACTGTTGAACAAAATATATCATAATGAGACACAATAAATACTTTTGATGCAGTAAAATAAAGGCAACAAAAGTTTAAAAAGACAGAAATTTGTATATATACATGTATTAAAAAATCTGTAAGCGGATAAAACAATTGATTACAGATACTTTCATTCCATCCCCCCATAATCTCTGAGAAATGTAGTAAAATTTTTTCTTTTCATTTTTATATGTTGGGCTGAGATTTGTTGGGTCTCACAGATGACTCTGCACCTCAGTACGAATCAGGGATAAGCTGTGTGGGCGCCTTGGAAAGGGTTCATATTAGGGGTTAAAAAAGTTTCGATCAAAACCTCTCACTGGAGCGCATCCCTTCCAGAGCGATCATCATGATGCGCACTCAGTGGTGAACGCAATTTTTCTACCATAAGTGCCGTAAACATCCAAATGTCGAAAAAAAAAAAAAAAGAAAAAGAAAAAAATCCAGCTATTAAATATAAAAATTTAATTGCATACAGTTCATTTGTAGGTTATAATTTTAACTAAATAGTATTTCTTGTTTAATCCATACAAAATATTTAGAAAAATTAAGAGGATTGTTTTTTTATACGGAAAAAATTATAGAGCGTAGAAGTACGCTCGTATTCACGTATTAAGTGAGAGTAAACATGCTCACGTAGTAGATGAACGTAAGCATTCTGCTGTGGGCTCTATTAACTTAGTGCAGGGTGATCTTAATACCGTGGAGCCAGGTCAGTTTATACTAGTCGCTCTAATGGCGTAGGTGCAATCGACTTAGTGTAGTCATTTTGGCTTGAAATTAAGGTAAAATAAGAACTAATTGATAGTATTAGTAACAATGGTATTGCTCAAACGTTGAGATAAAAATTCGATTATTAGATTTAATCAAACTGTAAATAAAAGTTTTTTGCTCACATAGAAAAAAAAGTTGAAAAATTCACATAAGTTATAATTTAAAAAACAACCACCCCTTCCATTTTAATTAAACGCAGCTTATTAGTTTCTTTTATTATTTTTGCACGAATAAAGTTATGTACTTTTTCAACATATTTTTTCCTTTTTCTACAAATCTTAATCCACACGTTTACACTATATCATATTGCTATCATAAAGTAGATTAAAAAAAAAAAAAACGTATGGCGCTCGTACTACGCCACAAACTGTGCCAGTAGGTATATTTTATCGTAGCACAGCTATTTATAACAACGTATATAATATGTACGAAGTGAGTGCTAGAAACATATAATGGTTATTACAGACCATTGTTTTTTCAATGTACGTGTGCACAAAAGTTTATACAGTTAATTTTCCTGATACAGGTAATAAATACGTTTTTCAGAAAAAGATTCCGTTAGTTCAAGAGTTGTACCTCATATTTTAGAATTTTATTGTATTTACTGCATTTTAATTTCTTACTATCAATTAAGTACTTCATCAAAGTATTAAAAAAAATTACTTATAATTTTTACTCGCTCAATTATAACTGTTGAAAAATAATTTCATGACGTTTGCTTGAGATTAAGAAATGTTTTTATTATTTAGCGTGATTTAAATTTTGTTAAAGTTTTCCTTGTAGTTGAATTAATCATACTGGCATGAAGTAATGTTTGCACAGATGTGATAAAAATTATTTATATTTGTATGCATCTTTGGTTTATTCAACTGAAAATGATATAAAAAGTGAACATTAAGGAAAATTTGTTTTAATAAAGGTAACAAATTCACATATCAAAAACATCAGAAAAGCGTACATATATGATCCGTGAAGATGGAACGACCTATCGTTACTGTAAGTGAAGGACAACTCCAGGGTATTAGGTTGAAGAGTGTTCTGGGCCCTAATTACTACGCTTTCAAGGGAATTCCCTTTGCCGCACCACCGTTAGGTCCATTGAGGTTTAAAGTACGTTAAAATATTACTTGCAATACATAGTCTTTGTACTTCTTTATCCTAAAGTAATAATAATGTGATCTCGGTTGTTAATCAGGCACCGCAACCACCTGCAAAATGGGATGACGTACGTGATGCTTCTAATTACGTGGGTGACCCTTGCATGCAGTATTCGTACGATAAAGTTCGTAACATTATAGGGAGCGAAGATTGCCTTTACCTAAGTGTATTCACTAAAACTCTTAGTCCCAACAGACCAGTGATGGTATTTATTTATGGGGGAGGTTTCGCTGATGGTACAACGAACAGCGATGTATACAGGCAAGACTATTTAGTTACCCAAGATGTCGTATTAGTGAACATTAACTACAGACTAGGACCATTTGGCAAGTGTATTAGTTTAACTATTTTGATAAAACCATAAAAGCGCCACATGAATGCCTACTATTTACAACAAAAAAAAAAAACATTATCCCGAAAATTTTGTTCAGCGTTTAAAACAATTGTGTTGGGTGACATTGCGAACTCTCTAAATTATTTTTTATTGTAATAAAATGTGTACATTAATGCATAAAATACAAACGACTCAATAATTAACAATTAATTAAAAATATAAAATAAATGCAGGTTTCTTAAGTCTTGGGCACGAAGTGGCAACCGGAAATTTGGGCTTGAGGGATATACTCTACTCTTTACAATGGGTTAAAGACAATGCCAAAGCTTTTGGCGGGGATCCAAATAATGTCACTATTTTCGGTAACAGCGCTGGAGCCGTCATAACCCACTTATTGACAATGATCCCAAAAGCTAAAGGTTAGTAGTCAATATATATTGTATGTCACCAACTTAAAACATTGTTTGATGTAACTATGAAAAAACTTATAAAATTGCTTGGACATTTTACATCGTAGGCTTGTTCCACAAAGCCATCATACAAAGTAATACCTGCAACTTGGTTATGACACTAATTAAGAAGTTTGACATAAAAAACGGCTTTAGAATCGCTGCTCGCCTTGGAATGCATTCAAAAGATCCTGTCGAAGTAATAGAATTTCTTAGTACAGTGCCTGCCATTAAACTTGTCGAATGCCATACACATATTTTATCCAAAGAGGTAAGTTTTATACAGTCATTTTTATATTCCGATCAAGTAGCATGAAAGTGCTGCGAGGCAAGTTTGAGAAACAGACAAATATTATTAGACGTAATGAATACATATTACAGGAAGAAATACAGTACGCAATACTACCGTACCTGCCTGTTATTGACGTAGATTACACTTCTGATCCCTTGATTCCCGGTACATTTGAAGAGTTAAAGAATAACAATGCTGATATTCCAATTATGATCGGCCACACCTCAGATGAGAGTCTTTTAATGTTTGTTGGTACGTTTTTTTTTTTTTTTTTTTTCCTATTGCACTGATGTAAATAAATTTTGTACTTACTACGAGTATATTTCGTATCAATGGTCATGCATTTTGGCCCAAGTAGTGACGGTTATTTTTTGCTTGTGAGCACAAAGCCACGCACTCTAGGTANCAAGCCAGAATGATTTTTTGATTATTCAAAGGGAAAATTACGTAAAAAAAATTAAAAAATCTACTAAAGTGATAGTACAACTATTTTAAATAACTTATACAGAAATAAAAAAATGACATCAATAATCCTATTCAATTTATATACAATAAGGATTGAAATCTGAAATCAAGACCATTTAAGTTATCAAAAAATGTATCAACAGAAATATCCATCAACATTATAGACGGACAAAATGTTTATAAATTTAATGTTCTAAAGTGTAGAATCGTGACGAAGCATTCCAATATAGGGTATACTTTGTTATGCTAAATAAAACTATGTTACGTATAAACGTTGACAGTTATGATAACAGTATTTATTTTAAAAAATTTATACGTGTTTAATTTGAAACTAAATAAAAAAAATTTTTTTCAAATTCTTGAAACGTTGATTTTATTAAGTCTTTTAATGTTTGTTGGTACGTTTTTTTTTTTTTTTTTTTCCTATTGCACTGATGTAAATAAATTTTGTACTTACTACGAGTATATTTCGTATCAATGGTCATGCATTTTGGCCCAAGTAGTGACGGTTATTTTTTGCTTGTGAGCACAAAGCCACGCACTCTAGGTATAAAAACTACTATGTTTAATGAATTTTAGATAAATTCAATGACGAAACTTACGAATACTACAACGATAATCTAGAATCAATAATCAAAAATAAATTGAAGGATCCTAGTGTGGCGCCTAAATTGGTGCAAGAAGTGCGAGAATTTTATTTGAAGAACCAGCCAATCAATTCAGAAAACGTGTGGGACCTAATACGATTGACTAGTGATTTTTTCATTCACGCTGATAGACAAGTTATCGATTATCGAGTCGAATCCGCAACAGCACCAACCTACGTTTACATGTTTTCCCACTTGGGAGACGAATTTACAGTTTATCAAACTGAGAATGGCCCACAACCTCTTAAGGGTTACATTTAGTTTAAAGAACTTATAAATACTGTTTTTATAATTATTTATAGTTTTATAATGATTCTTATAGGAGTCGCGCACGCTGATGATTTGTCGTATCTGTTTCACTTGGCTTATTTTCCGTTGAGAAAAGAAAACCCAGATACATTGTATCCGAAAGAAGGTACTTTAGATAGACTTGTTGTGGAGAGGATGATCCGGCTATGGAGTAATTTTGCTGCTACAGGGTAAGAATACCTGCACTAACTGAATAAAAAATTTATTGACACATGTTAATTTTATAAATTATTACAGAAATCCTACACCAAAGACTGATGATGAATATATTACAACTACTTGGGAACCCGTTAGCAAAGAGCATTTGTACTATCTCGAAATCAATAAGGACTTAACTTTGCGTGATGACAAAGAGTCTGAAAGCCGACCCTTTTACGAAAAGAATTATGTACATTTTGAAAGATTTTGATGGTCTTCGTTACTACCAGTCAAATAATTTTTTTTTTTTAAATAATTAATATTAAGAAATCAACTTGGTATCATGGAGCGTGACTATTTAATTTTTTTTTAATCATAAATAAATTCATTGTATACACAAAATTTGTGTTTGTGTATTCAAATGTCCTAAAGATTATGTGCAATGAAAAAAAGAGCCTACAATTTATAGTAGAATATTCCTCGTACAATATCTCTGGCAATAGATTTTCGATTTCATTTGTACAAATACATATTTCTATTCGAATTATTTATATTTGTATGCATCTTTGGTTTATTCAACTGAAAATGATATAAAAAGTGAACATTAAGGAAAATTTGTTTTAATAAAGGTAACAAATTCACATATCAAAAACATCAGAAAAGCGTACATATATGATCCGTGAAGATGGAACGACCTATCGTTACTGTAAGTGAAGGACAACTCCAGGGTATTAGGTTGAAGAGTGTTCTGGGCCCTAATTACTACGCTTTCAAGGGAATTCCCTTTGCCGCACCACCGTTAGGTCCATTGAGGTTTAAAGTACGTTAAAATATTACTTGCAATACATAGTCTTTGTACTTCTTTATCCTAAAGTAATAATAATGTGATCTCGGTTGTTAATCAGGCACCGCAACCACCTGCAAAATGGGATGACGTACGTGATGCTTCTAATTACGTGGGTGACCCTTGCATGCAGTATTCGTACGATAAAGTTCGTAACATTATAGGGAGCGAAGATTGCCTTTACCTAAGTGTATTCACTAAAACTCTTAGTCCCAACAGACCAGTGATGGTATTTATTTATGGGGGAGGTTTCGCTGATGGTACAACGAACAGCGATGTATACAGGCAAGACTATTTAGTTACCCAAGATGTCGTATTAGTGAACATTAACTACAGACTAGGACCATTTGGCAAGTGTATTAGTTTAACTATTTTGATAAAACCATAAAAGCGCCACNATCTCGTTTTCCTATGAGGAAAAAAAATCCAGAGCAATTGTATCCCAAAGAAGGTACTCTGGACAGGCTAGTTTTGGAAAGGATTATTCGCCTGTGGAGTAATTTTGCAGCGTTTGGGTGATTATTTTTAGACATTTACAATTATATTACCAAAAATCGCGGAGAAATTTCATCGTACCACATTTCCAATAATTGTTACAGGAATCCCACCCCCGAGACCGATGACAAGTACATTACGACAGTTTGGAAACCAGCGAGCAAAGAGCACTTGTACTATCTAGAAATAAATAAAGACCTTCAGTTGCGCGATGACAGGGACTCGAAAAGCTGGCCGTTTTACGAAAAGAACAGCGATTCATATTTATAAAATTTTTTTTATTTATCGGAATTACTTTTGTATTAAAATAATTTATCAGTAATATTACGTAATTTAATTATTAAAAAATCAAAATAATCTGGTTGCATGCAGTTTCTCTATGATTGCAATGTACACAATATTTATGTAATAGTTTCCGATAAAATATTATTGTGGTGTTTAAGAAAAATAATTCTTCTAAGTTACTAGCTGATAAGTAAAGGTAAAATATGAATAAACATTTAATGACTGGTTATAATTCGTGCCAATAGTGAGAATAATAAAATTACAATTTGCAATAATTTTGTCAAATTAAGGAATTTTACTGTAATCGGTAAAATTGATGCAAGTCAAAAAAATTCATTGTTATACATATTTTATTTTATACGTAAGTTCTTATTATTACAAAAAGGATTGTGAATTATTTTCAATAAATGCATTTATATTTTTATCAAAAATATTGCGCCATTAATGATTACTTTCGAAAAAAAAATTTTTTTTTTCTTTAATCCAACAAACTAAGAATAGTATTTTAAAAATATTATACCATATTTATTACGTATCCACATAATTTTATTTTTTCAATTACATCATCATACAAGTTGTACACAAAGTCTCACAAACGTAGAGTAATTAAAAATTTTGTATTTGCGCACATGTAATTAAGTTTTGATAAAGCATTGGATGATAACACTGAAAATGCTATAAAAACCAATCATAAATGCTAAAATTTTTCGAAGTTGTAGCAAACTCACACTCAAAAATCATCGGAGAAGTATATTCAACCTATTGTCAAACATGGAACGACCAATTGTAACTATAAGAGAAGGACAGCTGCAGGGAGTTACGTTGAAAAGTATTTTAGGCCCCAGTTACTACGCTTTTAAGGGGATACCTTATGCTGCACCACCTCTTGGTCCACTGAGATTTAAAGTAAGATTACATAAAATATGTTTAAAATTTTATTTTGAAGTAGTAATGACATATCAATCAATAATAAGGTGCCACAACCACCTGAAAAATGGTCCGGTGTGCGAGATGCTTCAAATTATGCTGGCGATGATTGCATGCAGCTCAGAGACGACATTCATCATGAAGAAATTGTAGGAAACGAAAATTGCCTTTACTTAAGTGTATTTACAAAAACTCTTAGTCCCGACAGACCAGTGATGGTTTTCATTCATGGTGGAAGTTTTGTCGAAGGTACAACAAATCGTGATGTCTATAGGCAGGATTATTTGGTTACGCAAGACGTGGTGTTAGTCAATATTAATTACAGAGTAGGAATATTTGGTAAGTAAAAAATATTTTTATGGTTCCAAGAAAATTGAAGAAACCTAGGAAATATTTTTGCAGGTTTCCTCAGCCTTGGACACGAAGTTGCGTCTGGTAATGTTGGGATAAGAGATGTACTGTGCACTTTGCAATGGGTTCAAAATAATATCAAAGCTTTCGGTGGTAATCCAAACAACGTTACGATTTACGGTAGCAGTGCTGGAGCCGTGATCAGCCACTTGTTAACACTGATACCAAAAGCTAAAGGTGCGTGTTTTCATCTAGATATTTAAATAAAAAATAAAAAAACAATATGAAAAATAGTTAAATATTTTACATTGAACATATCGAAATGTAGGATTGTTTCACAAAGCAATTATTCAAAGTGGTACGTGCAATGGCGCACGAACCTTGACTGGCAAATATGATATTAAAAATGGCTTTAGAATCGCCGCTCATCTTGGAATGCAGTCCAAAGATCCGTTGGAGGTGATAGAATTTCTCCGTTCAATGCCAGCCACGAAACTTGTCGAGTGCAAAAACAAAATTCTAAGCAAAGAGGTGCTAGAAATAATTTTTTTTTTTTAATTTTAAATTAGATAGTTTCACATGTTGTTATGTAATTATTATGTAAAATCTCAGGAAGCGATTCAATACGATTTAAGTCTTTACATGCCGGTCATTGATGTCGATTACACCTCAGATCCAGTGATACCTGGTACTTTTGAGGAATTGAAGAACAACAATGCCGACATACCCATTATGATAGGTCATACCCCAGATGAAAGTCTTTTGATGTTTGTAGGTAAGTTACGTTTATTTTTGTTGTTTTATGAACTTTAAGAAGCCCAGATGAAAGTCTTTTGATGTTTGTAGGTAAGTTGTATCTACATTTTTTATTGCACACGTTTTCACTGAACCTTTACAATTTTTATTTTATTGTAAAAGTGAATTTTATAATTAATTTCAGATAAATTTACTGATGAAACATACGAATACTACAATGATAATTTAGAAGACATACTCAAAAATAAATTAAAAGACCCTAATGAACTGCCTAATTTAATGGAAGAAGTGCGAGAATTTTATTTAAAGAACCAGCCAATTAATAAAGAAAACGAATGGAATCTTATACATCTGACAAGTGACTTTACTATTCATGCTGATAGACAAATAATCGATTATCGAGTCGAATCTGCAACAGCACCAACCTACGTTTACATGTTTTCCTACATGGGAGATGAGCCCACGATTTATCAAACTGATCATGGTCCACAGCCTCTCAAAGGTTTTTAAAAATATCAATACTTATTTGTCAACATCACTATATAGTTACATAAATGCAAACTGAACTGTGTTTTAGGTATTGCCCACGCTGACGAGTTATCATACCTGTTTTACTTACCAGGTTTTCCGTGCAGAAAAAAGTTTCCAGACCAATTGTTTCCCAAAGAAGGTACTCTAGACAGGCTAGTTACGGAAAGGATTATACGACTGTGGAGTAATTTTGCAGCGTTTGGGTGAATATTTTTAGGCATTAACAATACCAATAATAATAATA